AGTATTTTGAAAAGGTTTTTCTCTACTTTGTCAATTCAACTTATCTTTTTTAATCTAATATACTAGGCACGTTTTAAGCTAGGTCAAGAGTGTGTACTGAAAGCAGACTGCAACAGGCATACATTCAGTGTCCTAGACTAAACAGGCCTGAAGTACATTTTGGTAACACTACCAAATGTGCAGGGCCTTTGTTGCCTCTACTTGGAGTAATGAAGAATTTGTAGTTAAAGAATTTGTAGTTGCTTACCTTCAGTAAAGACTCGATCCACATTTAACCCATAGGTGGCACATGTCTCATAGTACATGCATCGTTTCATGTCATTGCACAGACCTCTGGCTCGCACATCTTCAATCACCCTGGGGTTGTTGGAACTGATTTTATCTGCAAAGAGTAACACTTAGATAAGTGGAATGACATGAGATACAGCATACGAGTTGTACCAGTTCAGATGTATATCAGTTATTTCCCACCCTGCTTCCTGTCAACTTCCTACGGTCACTTCACACATAAAGACTTAAAGAGCAACTTTACCCATGTCTTTAAAATAACAACAGATACACCTTTAGAAATGTTTACTAATGACAATCTACAAACACATAATTATAGATAAATTGCCGGGTTTTTAGTCTTTGCATACTTCATTTTTCTTTTCCTCCCCAGTCTTCTTACAGTGGCCATTTTTACTAAGGACAGATTATTCCTTCTCCCTTTACTTCCTGGAACTCTGGCACATGTGACTGGGACATGTGGCCATGCACATCATCTCAGGGGAGGAAAATGCCTTTTCCTGAGATCTCATGAGATTTTACAGTTTACAGATCAGATTTCTCAGCAATGCAGTGTGATGTAACAATCCCAGGATCCATCTCTTAGGCATCTCTATGTCACTAATGCCCAAGAGGACCAGGAAATGGAAAAACTGTACATGTAAGCAAAATATGTTTATTTAACTATTCCATTTAAAATGATTTCATCCCATTGGCATGCACAGCTGCATGCCAATGGGATTTTTAGTGAAAGGGGGTAAAATAAATACAGTGATACATTTGTTTACAGACACAGAACTAAACAGAATCCCCAAAAGCAGAAGGTAATAAACATCTTTCCTAAGATACCAGCGCAAATGAGAATTGTATTCCCTCATTTGGCCCAGAAGACTGCACCCAGCAGCTTAGCCTATGAGAAACAGCAATGGATTTTGTCAAATCTTTTTCATCTTTAACTATTTTCACTATTTTTGAAGTATATGTTATGCCAAAACCTTTACTGTTCATTTTGAATAGAGCAGAGAATGGTTGTGACTCCTTTTAGGTCCTGTTGGAGAAATAAACCTTCATGTCCTGTTCCAGCAACACAACCGGAAATTTGAGAAGACCTCTCCAAAGCCAGGAAAATGCCCTTTTAGGCAGCTGTCACTAAAATCCTTTGTCACTCATCCGCTTTTATACTGTAGACAATGGTCTCTAGGACAAATATGGATGGCAAATCTCCACAGTAGGGAAACACTGCAATAAAAAGCTGACAGACGTTCTAATACTTACCACTATTTCAAAGATACAAACATGCGTGTCCAAACATGTAAGTTAGTTCACGTGTGTGGCATACATTGTCGTGTGTGTGTGTGTGTGCGCATTTGTGTACTTTACTGTACAGTATTGTATAGAGTACAGTAGTACAGTAGCTATATTTCAAGCCCAGGATGTCCAGAAGCAAGCATAAAAACAGCAGCGATGTAGCTGGGCACCTAGGCTAACTGTGTTGGACTTACGAACACGCTCTCGGAACGGAACTTGTCCGTAAGTAGGGGACTTACTGTATATATATTTTGTTTAACCCCTTCATGACTGAGCTTGTTTTTAGTTGCTGTTCGTAAATGACTACTATTCATGAAAGGAAAAAAGAAAAAAAAGCCAGTATAGCTTGAGAGAGATATCTCTCTCGATCTATACGAGCTGTCAGAATGCTGGCAAAAGCCAGCATGTGTGTCCCTCTGCTTTGACTCTCAGACACCCGATATTAAGGTATCGGGTGTCTGAAAAAGGTTAACCCTTTCATTAATGAATGCCTCTGTAGTAAGGGCAGCCATTAATGAATGTTAAAAGCTGATTCTCAGCGTTTAACAGCCCTCTAAAGCAGCAAATAACTCGTCACGTACAGTGTACGTGACAAGTCATTTGGTCCCTTTGTGGCTGGACGTACAGTGTACGTCTCCCGTCACGAAGGGGTTAATATAAACCAGATGCAACAATAACAAATCATGCCAGATCTTGTATTTATTTCTAAAAATGGCTACACAGGTTTGTGGCACAGATTCATTAGTACTGTCAAGTTTATTAAGGGAGGGGGAGAGGTCTATTTTAAGCCACCAGGGCCATCTGGCTTGCAGTCTTTATTTCTTCATAGGAACAGACAAAAATATGTTCCGGGTGGGCACATTTAATATTTGGAATAGAATAATATTCTTTTGTATCTGCACGTCCAATTTCCTCTTAATGTGACTAGAGAAAGCTCTACTAGAGTAAGTAGGTTTATTGTTACAATCTGATTGTACAATCTCCTTTAAATCTATCAAAAACTATGTAGTGCAATGGCCTGCCTGAATGGATACCAATTGGTTGGATAGATTGGTCCTCATAGCACATAGTTTGGGTAAGTCTAAAGCTTGTATTGCCAGATTCATTGTAATGGGTATGGTGAACCTAAGCCAGGGTCATTCCTCCTATTGTTTTGTTCTATGTAACTTTTACGCACATTAAATTATTGTAAAGTCATTTTTTTCCTTTACCAAGTCTAAAGTCTCTCTGTCAATGGTCTAAAGCAGGGGTCTCAAACCTCCGGCCCTCCATCTGTGGTGAAACTACAAAACCCATGATACATCTCTCTTCGGGAGTCATGTCTGTGGCTGTGAGAATCTTGCAATGCCTCATGGGATTTGTAGTTCCACCACATCTGGAGGGCCGGAGGTTTGAGACCCCTGGTCTAAAGGCACTCTGTAAAAAAAAAAAAGTTTTGCCTTTATATTAACTTTAAGCACATATACTTTTTGACTGACAGATGCAAGAACATACTGTTTGTTTTGTTGAATATTACCAAATTTTTTAAATGAACTCCTAAAGTACCCATTATTATTATTATTAATTTATTTATTGCAGGTGTTTTTATAGTGCCAACAATTTACACAGTGCTTTACATGTGTACATTCACATCAGTCCCTGCCCTCGAGGAGCTTACAATCTAAGGTCTCTATCTAACATGCATATAAACACACAGTTTGCCAACTAATACAGAAAGTTAGGAATTACTTGCATGGCAATGAGTTAATACACAGGTAATAAAATGATGAAACAATTAGAAGCAATACAATTAGTGGAAATGCCTGCAAAAACTGCCCTGCCTTTTACGAAATGAATGTAATATAAAAACCATCTAGATAAATAACACTCCATTAAGAAATATTCATCATGTTATGGTACATTGTGCTGTTTAAAATATTATTGGCTAAATGGCTACATATTTACATCTTCTACTGGTCCTTCACAATGATTTGGGGATGCTGTATTGTAACCTCTATTGTTAGAAGATCATCCTGTATATCACCAATCAGTACAGTGTAAAGTGATTTAAAATGCTGTTTTATACCATGCTACAACAAATATGTAAAACTGTCCAATAAAGTAAAAGAAGGTTTACCTTGAGTCCCCACCAGTGCCACAGCAATGTCAGACACGTTACGATAGTTCGCCAGGAGAGCATAGTACTGGAATATGTCCTGAAAACTTGCTTCATTTTCCAGGCTGAACACAAAGATGACGCCATCCACCCAGTTAGAAAACTAAAGGTCAAAATGTAAAGAGGTTCAATCAATACACAATCTGTCACTGGGTATTATTGGTTCACATTTAAACCATCCTCACCTTCTCTAGGGAATTATGAGGACATTTTCTGAGCCTGATCTATACTAAAGTTGAACCCAGATTGCCAAGAGGGAAAACGGTCACTTTTCCATGCTGACAAAATCATGCTAACTTAATCCATCCTGGTGTACATGCAAGCACACTGATATTGGTGAATACCACTGTCACTGTACTCATCACTTTGGGGTAAAACCTTGAATTTTATGCATGCTAAAAACATTTGTGGAATATCACATAAAAAGGCATAAATATTGTTGCTGCAGCTGCACATCATTGTTTTCGCAGTGTTTTCGCACATATTATCACGTGCTTTTGCACTTTTTTGGGGCATGTTTGATCTGCGTATGTTAAAAGAGAACTATGGGGTTAGGGCTTTTCCCCATAGTTCTCCTTAGGGTAACGGGAGGACACAAACTAGCATCCTCCAGTCACCCTAAGCTCAGTATAGCTAAGCTAAGCTGAGACGCCACAGCTGAAGCGGATCCAATTATGTCTGAATCTGTCCTGCTGCGTGAGTGACAGCTGGCTCTGCCTATCTAGAGGCAGAGCCAGCTGTACCAGACCCCTCCCCCGTTCGTTCCGCCAGTCAGCGCTGGAGGATCGGAGCGTGGAGGGGGGAATCCAGCCCTTCCCCTGTCACGGCAGAGAGCCGTGACAGGATCAAGAAGTGAGCGAACGCCGGTATGTGTTTGCTCACCTCCCGATCTACTGAGGCGACCTGTGACAGTCTCATTGTCACAGGTCGACTAGAACTATGAGGTGAGTGAAAAGCAGTTCTCCTTTAAGACACACTTTATAGCTAGCAGATTGTGAAATATTACTTTAAACTAGGGATGCACAGATACTTTTCGAGTACATGTGCAGATACCTGGCATTTTAATGAGAACTACCAGGGTTGCAGCGGTTGCAGCTGGGACCTAGCTGTGGCACTCCACCACTGTCCTGAAATCATTAGTCTGTATTGTTTTAGAAAAACTCTCACATGACCATAAACAAAAATGTATCAGTACTCGTACTTGTAAGTACTCGGCAAGTACCAGTACTCGTACTCGCAAAACTGGTATCTGTGCATCCCTTTATTTATATTTATAAAAACAAAATCATACATTAAAACAGAGATGTACAAATCCCAGGAGCTCCGTGTGCTCCTTACTAATGACAGCTGCCTCCTAACTTTTTAATTTTTCTCTAGTCTAGTCTTGGAGCTCAAAAGTATCGGTACATGTACTCGTACTTGTACTCAGTACTGTACTTGGTATCTGTGCAACCCTACTTTAAACCAACAAACACGCACAAAAAACGTGCAAAAATGTTGCGCGTTTCCAAGTGTTTTCAATTAAATTTATGGAGACAAAAACACACAAATCTGCAGAAAAGTAGCTCATGTACTTTTTGCAGTGACAGGTGACAAAATGCTCAGGTGTGAACAAGGGCCATAGAAAGAAAATGGAATTCCTTGTGTTGAGCATTTTGTAGCTCTGAGATTTGAGCTACAAAACACTTAGGCATGAACGAGGACTTAGCGTTGACACAGCCAATTATAGTCTCCACTGGAAACCAGGGTGGCAACACAATAAACCAATAAGAAGAGAGTGACAGATGGTTGGCTGTCTATAACATGAAGTGCCTGAACAAGAACGTTCACTGTAGGGTCTTCAGGTATTATTTTAATTAAAATTGCAGATTTAAGCAGATTGAAGATGCTTAAAATTACATTATGAGGTAAAAGCTTATAGGAGATTTATGAATTGGTTTATATCTACTTTAAAAAAAAATCTATTTAGATCCACAGTTGCCCTGGTTTTGCTCATGTGCTCAGCTATGACACCAGCCATTTGAGGATTTAAAAGATTGGTTGAGAGCTGACAAAAGCACACTGGCAACTGTGACAGTTATCACCAGACACATGCCCTAAATGTAGCATACTCTGTGCATGCTCTAGCAGGCAAAATGTATATGAAAACACTGCATTAGGGGTGAACTTCCCTAACGGCGACACAGACAGCAATAAAAGCCTAAGAGGTGTTGTAATCCCTCTCCACTCTATCCAAAACTAAAAGTTGCACTTTAAACTCTCATTTGGGAAACAGTTGCATTTGTGGGTTTAGCTCACTTTAAGAATAGTTTTTACTTTATTTTTTTTATTTATTTGGGTTTTTATCGTGGCCTGCAACAAAAATGGAAAGGAAATCTTTTAAGCCATACACTGAGTGATAAGGATTCTTCTTGCTGTAAGCCAGTGCTGCCCATTAGGTCAATCGCGATCTGCCAGTGATCGCGATGTCCTGTCTTCTCTGGATCCCGCTGCTGTCCCCCATCTGTATGCAGCGGGGATCCGATAAAAAGTGAAGCTGCAGTCGGCGGCGGGGGGCGGAGGACGGACCCGCTATCACAGCAGCATGCCGAGCGGTGAGGAGAGAGAGCCGCTCGGCCTGGATCTGACAGCCGGCGTCTCTCTCTCTCTCTCTCAGTAACAGTCATAGTTACCTTTGCATCAGGGGCCCCTGCTTCTTCTCTGATCAGCAGTAGGTAGCTTTGGCCCTCCACACTAATCTCTTTCTTGAACTGATCACCTGAATAAAGATAAAAGAAATGTATATGACATATTCAAGAATTTCTAAAGTCCCAGCATATACCATCCTGTTGTAACATCAGCATTGTAATAGGAATACATACTAGATTTGTTTTTGATAATGCAACCAAAGCTTACTTGAAAAAAAAATCCCTTTTATGTAGTGAGTGCTGCCTTCCCAGTGTGCTTTGCATCTCTTTCCCTGCTGTTTGATGTGATGCAAACTCAATTTCTCAAAACTACATATCCCACCATACATTGCTTCCAGCAAGTAATGATCATTTTACATTGTTCAGTTGTAGTTCAGAAGGCAGGCTCTGGGAGAGTTGTGACACAAGAAAGTGCATATCCACATAGTGAAATTGTGACGCTGCATTGAGGAAGTACATCTTATGGGCATCATCAGTAAGTAAGATTACAAATTTTTAGATTGATCAGGTTATTAGCAGTGGGATAGACCTTATGAAAATTCAATATAAAAATACATATTCATGTTTAATTTTTGACCATACATAGCCTTTAATGACATAACAGATTTAAACTTCATGAAGCAGATTGTTTGTACTCATGTAGTTTCCTAGAAACTCCAACAGAAAACATCACATTCACGCCTGGTAATGTGTGAATATTCAGGGGGGAACAAAACACGGTTTCACATTGAATTTTTCTGACGTTTTATTTTATAGCTCAGCTTTTCAAAGAGCTCAGGCAAAAGTGGTGAAAGGATGTGCTGCTGCCATCTGCCAGTAAACCCAGGGGGTTGGTTTACTAGAACCAAATAGGCTGTTCAGTCTTCAAGGGAATTTGCACTTTGCAGGGAAGTTTGCCCTTAGTATAGCGTATGTGATGAAGCTCTGCTGACTTCCCTCATCCAATCATGTGCAGGCAAAAATACAGTTTTAAAGAAAATGTCCTTGCACGTGATTGGGTATTCTTTGCAAAGTGAATTTTCACCACATTCACCAAGCTAAGCGAAACTTCCTCTACAAAGCACACATTCTCTTGCAAAGTGAACAGCCTATTTACTTCTAGAAAATCACATCGCCCCCATATTGTCTAGCTGCCCACCTTTAAAGAGCTGATGAACAGAGCTATCACTTCACTGCACATGGAGCGTAAAACTGCTCCTTACAGGCCAAAAGTCAGACTCAGACTTTTGTTCTACAACCACCGCTCTCCAATGCAAGTCTGCTGTGTCCCAACTGTGGACATTAAAATGGAACTTCACCCAGCTATCAAAAAGGAAAAGTCAGTAGCTACAAGTACTGTTGCTGTGGACTTTCATAAACCACATTGAGGGGAATTTATCAAAACTAGAGCAAACACAATCTGGAGAAGCTGTGCATGGCAACCAATCAGCTTTTCTGTTTAATTTTCAAATCTTAACTAAACAAACTGAAGACAGATGCTGATTGGTTGCCCTGGGCAACTGCTCCAGATTTCGTCTACTCTGCAGTAAAGACTGGCTAGTTTACAGTGCTGCTTCTGTACTCTTCCAATGTAAATTTTGATGTACAGTTGAAAGCAGGAGGCTAGTATCAAGCCAAATTGGGGTACTATTTAAAAATATGTTTACATTTTTCTAAATGAATACATAACTGGATTAAAAACAGTCTTCTATATCTACCAACTCTTTTAACTAAATGAGAATATCTGTTTTAGATTTCTTTTTGACTAATCCAGTAATATAACACATCCAATGCATATCACAATTGCAGCAATGTGTAATACTACAAGTGTTTGACAAGATACAACAGAACTGGCTGCATGGTACAAGCTTGAGTGAGAAGATATTTCATGTGAACTAAGGTATAATGAAAAGGACCAGAACCAGGCTGGCATCCATGGCATTGTTGAGAAGCTGTGTTATGTCTAAACAATCTATATGAGCTCCTCCATTTACAAGCATTCTAGGGCCTAAAACAGTATAAACCACTTTACAGGGCACTGCATTGGGAGGAATTTATGATCGTGTTTGCGACAAATTCTTTTGTCGCAAAGACCAAAATGTTATGCTGAGTAATCGCAAAGCTTTATCTCTGTTATGCTCCTTTTTTAGGTGTTCTTGCGACATATTCATATTTGCCACTCGCTGCCCATGTTTTCCGACAATTCGCATAATTTCTCAAATGCGTAGTAATTTAATCTATTATTTGTGACATTAAAAACCCTCCAAACTGTTGCACATTCTAGAAGTGTTCCTAAGCACTTCTTAAAGTATCATAGAGATAACTCAGCTTCATACCCTCAAATCAGCTAAGCACTGCAGGGCTGTTCAGTGGTCATCCAAGAGGTTCCCTACAAGCATGCAACAGTTTAGAGACAGTTTAGAGATTGGGACGATTTTGAGACAATTCGCCTTATGAAGGCATTTAAGAATGAAACATAAACTAGAATAATAAATCCCTGATATGCACTAGATATCAGGGATACGGTAGTTTAGGAGATGCTGATCATTTGACCAAATTGACAGATTCCCCCCATTGCACCTAAATTTGATCTCCGGGGTGCCGACAGTGGTTCATCAAGAAACAGCTGATATTTGCATAGTGTATGGCTGGCTTAAAGCCTAACCAGTGCAACATAAATTCCAATTTGCTATAGGTACTGTATTTTTTCCTGTTTCTGTTTATTCTAATAAGCCATATATATTACATGATTGCATGCTTATCTGCTGGGGAAATATTTGTACATTTTAAACAAAAGTGAATAATAAAAGTAATAACATGTGAACTGCGATAAATGCAGTAGAATTGGTCTAAATGACCCACATGATATAGGTACAGATCAAATGTGCTCCACGGCTACATGCATGTGACTGATGCTGAACAATAGCTAGATTTACATCTGCTACTCTGTGTAAGGACAAACCATCAAACCATCAAATATCAAAAGATTTTACATGGAAACTACGGCATTGGGATGAAATTGGTCTAAATGACCCACATGATATAGGTACAGATCAAATGTGCTCCACGGCTACATGCATGTGACTGATGCTGAACAATAGCTAGATTTACATCTGCTACTCTGTGTAAGGACAAACCATCAAATATCAAAAGATTTTAGACGGAAACTACAGCATTGGGATGAAGGAATCCAACCCATTTATTTTAGGCAAAGCTTTAAAAAAACAGGAAATTTTTCTGAAGTCAGAATTAAATGAACAGAATTTCTAATCAGTTCCTTTCCTTCCTTCATGTAAGCCTATGTGTACAGGGTGACTTCATTCCTTTGTGTCACTCTCCATCCATGGCTGGTTTCCTCCCAACTTCAGAGGCCTTCCTAATCTCCATGGTAACTGAAACCAGAGACTAAGGAAGGATGTTGTCATATTGCGTCCACTGTTCAGTAACCATGGAAACTAACAAGAAAAGAAGCTACAGAGCAAGAAAGCAAGATGTGGATGAGTACAGGCCATCAAATTTAGATGTTTGGGTGAGGATCAGTGTTGTACAACAATTGTTCTTTTTAAATGCTTTTAAGTCTGACTTTAGCATTTAAATACATGAAAATAATGTTTTATTAAAATAAAGTTGCAAGTCAATCTGCTTGTTAGTGATTATTTCCCAGTGAAAACATGGTTCCTTTTTTTCTGCTTACATATCATGCCACAAACAGTATTACCTGGCTAATAACTAAGCAGCATATTTGCTATTCACCTTTACTTAACTGCTCTAAAACTGAACAATCAAAAGGACATTTCAGCTGGGTAGCAAATGATTGCTTGCATGTCTACGCTGGATGATCAAATACACCCTTTAGTTCTTGATGTGTTCCTAGAGAATTTATAGAATTTTCAGTTCAGCTGATGTAATTGCCTTTTTTTTCTCAAGCTGCCACATACTAGCCGAAATATGAAATTTGCCTTTCACTGGCAGTGTCTTTTCTACTGCAAGCAACAGCTAGAAGGAAGTAGGTTAGTTTACAATGGGTTCAGCAAAATGTTTTCAATCTCTTAATATAAAGTATGTATCAATGTATGTGTATATATATATATAGATATTAGCCCCAGAGGTAGCCACTGCACTCTATTTCCAAGGTAAATTCCCAGGTGCACATCCACAAAAATGTCCATACAAATCCAAAGTAGATATAGCGGCACTCACAGGACTTGAGATAAGTCAAGACAGCAACATTTTATTATCAAAGTTTCGATGGAGCTCAGTCCATCTTTTTGAGCTCCATTGAGAAGGTGACAATAAAATGCTGATGTCTTGTCTTATCCTCTCTGCAAGATCTGTGAGTTCCTCTATAGCTATATACATTATAAACATATCATACATAACATCTATAAACATTTTATGACGCCTATAGCAAAATTTTGATGGATCTCCGCAGCATTCTCTCGGTCATACCTGGTAATGTCAATTGGGACAATAGTGTAATTGATCCTAACCAAAAGGTATTTCTATATTAAGGGCAGGCAGCAGGGGAGCTGTTAACATAGTTAGTACACTACTAGGGACCAGTGTTGTGGATGGAAGTTTTACCCCTTTGCCTAAAAATCACTTGAGCATTCAGCTCTGCATGCTGATATGAAATCATCTTACATATTAGCTATACAAAGATATTTTTATTTTACTACAATTTTTTTCCCCCTTCCTGATCCACTTTGGCACAAATTATGCAATCATGCCCAAGCATTGCATCCTGGGAAGATTATATCAGCAGAGCATTGCTGGGAAATCTTATCTGTAATCTCAGGAGATCTCAGGGAAAGACATTTCCCTTCCCGAGATGATGTGCATGTTCACATGTTCTAATCACATGTGCCAGAGTTCCAGGAAGTAAAGAGAGATCTAGTTACCTTTAATGTGTTTGCCAATTCGAATTTTAGAAACAAGCTCATTTTATTGACATTTACTGAAGTAGAATGTTAATGTATTTCATTTTTTAATGCATAAAGAGTTTTGACAAAGAGGGCAGACAATTTAAAATGTTCCAGATTATTGTACTGATGTTCCACGTACTGTATATGAAGATCTTTACAAATAATCT